ATCGTTCTCCACGCGGTGGCCGTGGCGTCAGTCAGAGAAGCAAAAAGCTTCCGGGCGAACTGAAAATGACACATGCGATCCCGCCGCACGGCGCTGCCGGTTGTGTCCAATTGGGGAAAAGACTCTTTGGAAAAGACAAGAATAGACATAACACAGCGATGCACAGGAAAAGAGGTATGATCAATGGTTTCGAGGTTTGGTGGAATTGACGGGAAAACGCACACCGTCGTTCTTTTAATGAGTGATGATGAATTGTTGTTTGTTTCATATCCCTCTTGTTGTGCAAATGAGGAAATCTTATTCACTCTACACCATCTTCCCACAGTGGCATGCACTCGCCCCCGTATCCATTCTAGGATGAATGAGCCATCCCTCGTCGACGACATATCGGCTCCCTCCACGCTGACTGCATCAGCACAACACCAGAGTTCAAACATGGAACACATGGGTTTGGGTGCACCACAGGGATTCCAATGAGAAACAAGTCGCATTTCTAATCCTCGTCTGGCACGAGCCCCAATGTGCACAGGTGTGGAGGCCACAAGATGGTACGTACCGCCATCCACATCCTCATTCCGCAGAAGTATAACGGGCACAACTATTGGTGTTGTGTCGGTGTCAAACAATTCCACGCCTCCCCTCAACAACCATTTCGCTTTGCTAATAGCCTTTCCCAGAGACCACATGTACCCGTAAAAAACGCCACTCTCAGTACGCCGCCAACACGTTTCATACGGCAAGGAATTAACCGGTGTTTCTGCCATCGTCGCCAGATCTCTCGTGTGAAGAGTAACCGGGGGTGCTTTACAGGTTTGTATCATCAAAATGTTCATCACCTCCTCGGTAGTTAATGGGTGCCCGTTTTCCCGTGGTTGGATTGCCCAGACACACATATGAGAGCGTTCGGCCGCAAAACACAAGGGCGGTGGAACAGCCATTGGCTTGCTTTTAAGCCGTCGGGGAGGTTTTCCCAGTGCACAACATGATGGCAGCCGTGCAGCCCATCGCTGTAGGACACGATGCTGTTTACGCTGGCTTGTCGTCGGCACAGCAATCCGCACGGTCACAAGCCTCGAAGAAAAGTCGTCATCCGGTGATGAGGAACAGCCGTCAATACGCGTCTTGAGAACACTGTAATGGAACCGACGGCAAAATCGCCAATGGGTGGGCAGCCAAAGCACTGCCGTCCGGCCTCCACCAGAGGAAAAGGCCTGCGTAGAGAGACACTGGGGAAGAGAAGGTTGAGGTGCAGCAGCAGGAGGTCCACAGCTGCAAAGGGGAAGTTGCGTCTTGCCGTAACGAAGAGCAATAATCCGACGTCGAATTCGACGACGTGTCGTCGCTCGTCGCCTCAACAGAAATCTACGGCGTCGCCTTAAAAGCAAGCACCACGCCCTATAAGTTAGAGGACGTTTTTTCTTCTGCACCCGTCCTTTCTCTTCTTCGACTGTTTTCGGTGTTGCTGGTGGAGGCTCCTCGGCTGCCAACAGTCGCACAAAACGTTTAGACCTCCGTGAGCGAAAATTCGCCAACCGCATCACGTCTGACAGCGGCACATTCGCAGAAGACGGACGGCGGTAGTGAACAACAGAGCGTGCCGTACGAGAAAAGGCCCTCTCATTCTCATGACGAGGTCGTTTACGAAACAACAAGGCAGAAAATGCAGCCAACTCTTCCACACGGCCGGTTAAAAACTGTGCGACATTCATCAAGCGGGCTTACTAATCTTGGAAGGTGTTTCCATGTGCAGGACCATATTTTTGTTAAATGGTAAAAAAACATCAAAAAAAAAAAAAGAAAGAAAGAAATTTATTTATTTATTTGTAAAAAAAAAAAAAAAAGGGAGGGGATTGGGAAATGACGACGCAAAGATTTTCCCCAACCCCTCCAATAAGTTCCAACGGTGGAAAGAGACATATATATATGCATATATATCAATATGCCTCCCGTCCCAGACAAAACACAAAAAAAAAAGCCTTGTTTATGTCGTTTCGATAGCAACAGTTGGAAAATTCAAAAGAATGACGGTAAACCTTGAGACTCCCATTCTTGCAACGCCCGTTCCATTGCCGCGTGTCTTGGGGCAGCCAAAAACTTGCCAGCAGTTGTGACGATAAACTCTTTTGACAGACGACTTAATTTCTCTACAAAATGCTCTTTTACGCCTTGGAGACAGCGCTGCTGCAGGACCGCATCCCAGCCCTGACGCCCCTCTCTAATTAACAATGTGTGCATTGTGTACACGAGGCACCGCCGCAGACCCTCTTCGCCAATGGCCTCAAGTTTGTCCGCATCACTCACAACGTCTCGAACAAAAACCCAGTCGGACGGCAATTTCGCTTCAAACCACCGCATGCATTGCTTCTTCTCCTTTGAGAAAGAAATCGCTTCTATGGTGGTGAGAGCGTGACTGAATGCCTCTTCACCGTCCATCCCCGCAGCTGTTATTGCCCCCTTTTCTGCCCCTAGAAACTCTCGAACCTGCTGGATGAGCCTGCCTGCCGCATCGTACTTGTGATCAGCAACGTCATGAAGCATGGCGACAAGAATAACTCGCGAGATTGTCAACGAGGGGCAAGAAGCCGCTCCGTGTTCCATGTGAAGAATGAGAAGGGCGTTCCCCGTGACAGCCTCCATGTGCGCCAGCCCATGGGTGGCGTCACGGCCAGCACACACATCGCCTACAAACCTTCGGCACCGCGCCCAAAGCAGGAGGTGACCCGCCTCCATCGTTGCACCACCCCTCCCTTGAAGAAAAAAATAAATAAATCAAACAGTGGTGAAGCAGAGACGTGAAAAAAAAAAAAAAACTGTAAAGGCAATCCACCACACATTCATCCTTCACTGTTCCTAAAGTCCCACTTTTTTTACCCTCTTCTTCTCGTGAGTGGGAGTGAAATGCATGCCAGATGGTGCCCCCCAGTCCCGCCCAATGGTTCAACGAGGTCCCTAAATGACAGCCCAAGCAAAAGCAGTCTCAACAGCTATACATCACACGCACAAACTCACATATGCATCTTTTACCCGCTGCCGCCCTCTGCTGCATCAAACATCAGCGACAACATGTTGAAGTGAGACAATTCCTCCACACCACATGCAAACAGTTCCGCTTCGTATCGCCGTAAAAAACTCTGAAGAATTTCCTCGTCGTTGGCCTCTGCAAATCGCCAGCCCGTGTAAACATAATGCTCCTGGAAAGACCGCACCACGCATTCGCGAATGATAGCATCACGCATAAATGGCAAACGCATCATTTCAGCTTGCTCACGCACACTTCCGCAGCACCCTTCGGGATACCCGTCTGCTGCAGGGTCGTTGATGTCTGTTGTGGCGATCAGGTACCGGCTGCGTGCAAGAGCATAATGAAGACGGATACCCGTCAAGAGCGGATAATTTCTCGGCAGCAGCACCTCTAAATCCTCTAACAGTTTTTCGCATAGTTGCATCAGTCGTGTGACGTCATTTGGCGTCATAATGGCATTCAAAGAAGTAGCCAAGCATTCCATCCGCGCCTGCAAACGGTAATGATGTGTCGATGGAAGTCCAGAAGCCAATGTGTCAAGATCCATTAACTGACGCACGGCTTTCTGAGCGCGCTGTGCATATTTTTTGTCATCATCATCTTCTTCTTCTTTATACTTTTCCGTTTCTCCAGCTCCAAAACCTTCCTGCATGCAATTTCCATGTTCATGCACGGCATCCGTAATAGACCTTCCCAAAAGCTCGCAGTGGATGTTGTCAATGATTTTCTTGAACCCTGATTTCATTGGCCCGGCGAGATCCTTGTAGCTACTGTATCCCGCGTATGCACAACCAGGCAGGTGTGCGTACGGTTTCACCCGCCCATTTGCTGTGTTATTGGCCCTCACAGAGGAAACTACATCAACCGCTTTAGATGACACCTCTTCCTTGTCGTTGTGATCATCGTAAACAAGCTGTTGGCACGTAGGGCACACCACACCCTCCAATAACGCAGCGTAAGAAAGACAAAAGGTACAGCAACAATAGAAGCCATTCCGCTCTCGTTTTAACTCCCTTGAAAGAAGAAGTGAGGAAAGATATGTGACTGTTATCTCCTCACCTGGCTCAATGTCACAAAGAGCTACAACACGCAATACACCGCCTCTCGAGGAACAACAGGCACCTTCTTCTTCACCAAAGACAAATACCGCGTTTGGTGAACAACTGTGGTTTATAAAACCGGCAAACGGATACAACCCCTTCCCCTCCCCAGGGGCTCCCTCCAACTCAATCCTAAATTCTTCCACGGGGCAGAATGGAATGGCTCGTTCCGTCCAGCAGCGCACAAGGTCGGCAATGTCGCGCGCAAAACCATCCTCCGTTCCAATACTGTTTCTGTCCGCCGGTTGCATGGTGGCAATAAGATGCAACGCATTCCACATTTCACCAGCCTGTGTTGGCTCCCCAAAAAAAGCACCACTTTGAAGAGATTCCACTACTTGTGAAGTCACCGCATCGCTTATGAACGTCATACCGCCACGCCGAAACAATTCAAGTGCCGCACCCGTGACATTTGACATCTCGTTGTTTTGCATCTCCGTCTTAGCCGCGGTTTGATCTGGTGAGCTATGAAACAAAAGAGACCGTTCCTGCAACATGACACTGCCTTCAGAAATCTTTCCTGTGGCCACAAGTCCCACGCCATGTGTAACACGACACGCATTCTCAGACGGTTCAACAGAAGGATGCACGTAAAAAAAGTCTTCACAAGATGAAAAAGTGCCATCTGTCTCACTCGCCACTTCCTTCACGCCAAATAATGCCCGTCGAACTTGTTGTCGCAAACCCCCACAGGATGCACCAAAGTGTATTGTGGCCACTTGCACTGCAGTTATCGAAGAAATAAGATTCTTCCATGCAAGGGACAGGCATTCACGCGAAACCCACAATAATTCGTGGCTACTGCCCCCGCCGGATGTTTTTCTACTCTTCTCTGTGTAACGAGGTTGAGCAGCATTCTTTAGAAATGCGAGACAAGTCAGCAGATGAGCTTGATGCAGCAAAGCTGTCGCCTTCATTGTGAATAGACGTTGCAATACGCCACGACTCACTGCTATGCGGTGGAAAAAAAAACTTGCAGGTAATGTAAATAAATTATGCAAAAGCTCTTTAGCAGTGGCTAGCTCTGTACGAGGAGACTCTGCAATACACTGTTGAGACACCGTCGCATAAACCTCCTGAAAAAGTGAGCGTGCTGCCGCCGCAGTTGTCTCACTTAGAGAGTTTGAGTTTGCAGAAGTCATCGCGTCGGGGCGCCACCACCAATCGGTGGGTGTTGCCACGCCGTGAGATGCTCCATAACGCCATGCCGCTTCATCAGCTGGCAAGAGTGTGAGATGCGCCTCACACCAGCGCCAGGCCTGCTCTGCAACCTCCTCGTGGTCCCACCAGTCGCACAGCTTTTCTGCGAGGTCGTCTTGTCCCTTCTCCCGAGAGGATGCTGCCATCAGCTCACAGCACACCGCCTGCACCGCGTTCTTGGTTCCTGTCCACTGGATGCAGGAGTCCAAAATAGCAAGAACCACCTCCACAAGGAGCTGTGTTAGCCGCTGGTGGGGTAGTGCGGTCTCCGTCCCCTCCTTTGCATCCTTGTCGTCATCGGCCATCTCGTCCTCCTTCTGTTCCATTTGTAACAATAACTTCAGCAGCGCCATTCCAACAGATGCCGCCTCCGCAACTGCCGCCTGCGTTTGTGCTTGCCGTTGCTGCCCCAACCCCCTTGTTTGCCCGCCATTAACCGAATTCCCGGAGTCGCCGCAGGCCCCTTCAAGACGTTTCTCCCAACGCAACACCAGACACGATGCGTCTTCCATCAACAACTTCAGCGACCTCGCCGTCACTTATTGCATCCAACACTTAAATTAAAATTGAAGTCAAAGCACACATACAGAAAGACGCCACTCACATGCGACATGATGTGACTCACGCACATACACAAACACACAAAGAAGAGAAAAAAAAGATCCAACTGCACTGACAGGTTTCAAAAAAATAAAAATAATAACAATAAAAATAAATGTCATCAAAATGGCTACAAAACTGGCCTTTAAATGAAGTCTTTTCCCAAATTCCTACCAAAAGACACGGCGAACAAAAAACAATAAAAATGCTATTCTTTCGGAACACGTCAATACCTCATAATTCCACTGTCACCGTAAAGGTCTGTGGATGCATTATGATAAAATGGAGGTAGTGTAGCGTTAAAAACAAAAAATAAAAATAAAAAATAGAGACAAAACAAGAAAGTAACCAAACGGAAAATTCAAGACGCAGTCGGTCTGATATATTTGTGCCTAAATCACTAAAAAAATATAAAAGGGCATTTTATTCACTAAATGATATCCTCTACTCAGCTCGCCACTCACATTTATCAGTCTTAATTTCCTCTTTAACTCATTCAAAGCCCTTTCACCTGCTTGTTCGTCAAAAATTCTGCCCTTTCATGGCCTGCATTGAGAAGTTGCAACTCCAAGGAAATTATTTCTTCGTCGGCTTTCACCGCCGCCGCGCGGAACCGGAAGTACATGACAACAACAACCACAATCAGTGCAAGAAGAACGGTGCCAAGAACGGCAACGATGATAATAACAACATACTTATTATTTCCACCAGCTACTGGCACAGATGGGGGCACATTGTCGGCCTTCCACCCAGGAACATCCGCCCCAGCTCCCAACACAAGAAACCCTGCACTTTGTTCTGCGCCCCACTCCGTTTCCGACACACGGACACGAACCTGGATTGAGTACTTGCCATGTTCCTTGCCTCGCGGAATGCTGAGAACACAGAAAAGCTCCTTCTCCGTGGCATTAGTCACCCTGCAGAGAATAGGGTTGGCGGACGCGGCGTCACCCACAATCACATCGTTATACAAGGGATGCACAGGGTTAAAGTTCTTACCGCGAAAAATCACTTCCGCGCCTGTAACGCAGTTTACGCTCGCGGCAGCGCAGTTCCCCGCCGCGAACTCAACCAAAGGATCCGGTGGAAGGACATGAATCGTGTTGACGGCACCTTCCTCAAAAGGCACTGGTGCCTCCCCGTCCAAGAGAGAGACGTTCCAACCGCCCACGGTCCCGGCTTGAACCTGCATTTCGCAGGTCAATACACCGGTAGTGACTTTTTGGACAGCACACGTCGGGGCCGCCATTTTGTCGCCTCCCGAAACCGCAGGATTAAATCGGACAATATAGCTTGAGTCGGGAATAAACGTCCCAAACATCTCAAGGTCATCACCATTGCGCACGCTAAAAGGCCGTATAGCTCCCACGGTGGCCTTTGCGTGTGGTACGGGGCTCGACACACTCACGTTGACAACCTGGCTCACCACTTTGGAAGAATCAATTAGCACCGAATCTTGCTTGGACACCCCTTTATAGCACGAGAGGCAAATACAGAGACAACTGAGTTTGCCCGAATATCCGTAAAGGTCTTGTTTGAAGTACGCACTGACACTGGATGACAACACGGCAACACGGTCCAGTTGACTCTTGAGCGCCGCGGTACACGCATCTGCATCGCACGTGGCTGATGATCTGCTTGCAGTAAACGGAAGCAGCAGGACATCACCCTTGTTCACGCCGCCATCAATTTTGAACAAAGTTTTCTGTGTGCCCACCACCTCACCGGGGGTAAGACTTGTCTCCTTGTAGGCCAAAGTGTTCACCGCCATCCTGCCCCTTGCATCGGTTTTGTAGACAATGACGTTGAACGTTCCGGCACGGAGAGGGGGAGCAACAACGCGGTGCTCTTCTATGTCGAGCACCCCGGAAAAGTCCAACGATGGTGGCTGTTCAAGAGCATAAGTCAAATTGAAGTACTCCTTCACACCTTTGCCGGAGCTTTTTGTGTTTATTATCGCCATGCGCCAGCGCGGATCCACTCCCGAGACAAATAGAGGACACCTTTCATTCTCAACACACGCAACACGATCGACAATTGGACTCTTGATTTCAACAAACACCTCCAACCTCCGGCTCTCACGACTATGAGCGAACGCCTGAGCAAAAATTGTCGAGGACTCCGAGATGGTAAAGGGGTGTGTGTACAGTGCCATCTCTTCTGCATTGTTAACGGCGTACTTGATGATGGCCCCAGGCGTAGCACAGGTTATTGTCACCGTTTGTGTGACGGCTGCAGGGTCGTCAACCGTCACAACGGGCGCCTCAACAACAACGGGGATCTCATATGTGTAGCCCAACTCGCCCTCCGCAGTGGAGGAAGGAGTGATACTCAGCCATATGAACGGTGGTGAATTATCGCCGCAGCACGGCACAAGATGACGTTCGGTTATGTTGTCACTGGTCTCGCCCCAGATTGGAGCGCGACCATCATGAGCGTCTCGCCACGTCTCGCACATCGATGTGCCGTTGCCGCCGCCTGAAAACACCTGAACCCATTCATTTTCATCATTCTTCACAGGGACAAAGGAAGAGCCCTCAGGCACGGGGAACACGCCCGGGCGTCCCACACCAAAAGGGCACACAGCTGATAGTGGGCACAACTCCATATGCCTCGTCTCAGCACACAACGCGTTTGCCGCAGTCCAACTCATCCTGCTGTTCCTTGTGTCGATCAGGTGAAAAGAGTTGTTCGCTCTGAGCTTCATTACCAGCTGGTTCCACCCCTTGTTCAGTGGCAAGGTCTCGCGCACCTCCTTCTCCGAAGAAAGGGGTGACGAGCCAACCAACTGGC